CAATGCCCTAAATGGCAAATCCAAAGCTGGAAAGCTTATTCTTGATCTTCAAGAACAATTAGAAAGATATCATTCAAAGATCAAAGAGCTGACCAAGATTGAGTAAAATCTTAAGGATCATGTCATTGTAAACCAGACTATTAGCATTGAACACGAGCAGGCTATCGCTGAGATGAGCAAGCAATTGTTGAACTCAAGGATGAAAAGGCTAACATTGAAGGATGGTTCAAAGCCTCTATCAAGCCTTCTAAGATCATCAACACTCAGATCCCTGTCAAGATAAAGAGTGGTCTAGGATTTTCTTATGATTAGGAAGAATGTGTCACTGACAAGTCCATGCTGAAGTTTGGTACTTTTGTCTATTCCATTCCTAACACCTCTTCCTCTCAGTACTATTCTACTGAGACTCCTCTTGAAGGAACTCCTCTGAGTTCAAGAGGCAAAGACAAAAGTAAATCCATTGTCAGCGATCCTCTTCCCACGAAGGCCAACAAGTCAAATAGACCCAAATCTATTCATTCGGCTTGTAAACCTTAATCCTTAGGGACCAAGGTCTCTGAACCCTCTCAGAGATCTAAGCCAAAGCCGAAAGTGAATCTTTCACCCGAGGTATCTAAACCCTCAGTTGTTCCTCCTCAAACAAATAAGAAAGGTATTCTTGGATCTTGTCCCTCTTCTCTTCCTTCTGACTCTTCTAGCCCTAAAGCTTCTTTTAGCTTCAGAAAGTGTCGTCACTGTGGTAAAACTTCTCATGTCGCCAGTAAGTGTCCTTCATGTACCAAATCTGGTCAGCCAGCCAAGGTAAAGAAAGTAACCAAGGTTGAAAAATCAGCCAAAGTGAAATCTGCCACTAAAGTTGTGAAAACGACTAAGGTGAAGAAGACCACTGAAGCTTTTTCTTCAGGCTCAGTGAAGACTCCTGTTGACTTTGAGCTTTAGTGTCAGTGGATGTCACCTCTAACTCTATTGGACCCATTAATGGGTACCAAAGCAATCTTAATTTGTTTTCTTTTGCAAGAAGTCAAAGGCATTTGGTATCTTGATAGTGGATGTTCAAGACACATGACCGGAGAAAAATCTCTGCTCACTTATTACAAAGAGGCCCTTCCGTGACCTTTAGAGGAAACGAAAAAGGTATACTAAGGGCTATGGAATATTAACCAATAGGGCAACCACTTTCAGACGTGTTGCATATGTTGAAGGACTGAAGCATAATCTTCTTATCATCAGTCAACTATGTGATAAAGATTTCACAATGAAATTTCTTAAGAGCTCATGTTATATCTATGACAAAGATGACAACCTCGCTCTTACAGGTTCTCGTCTAGAGAACGTGTACGTCATCAACATGCATTCTCCCTTCACTGAGAATAGTTGTTTTCTTTCTAAAGCCTCTTCAGATATTAACTGGTTATGGCACAAATGGCTTTCTCATCTAAACTTCAAGATGCTGAACGAGCTGTCTCGAAAATACCTTGTCACTGGCCTTCCTCGGCACTCTTTTGCAAAGAGATCTCTTTACTCAACGTGTGAAAAAGGAAAGCAGACAAAGGCTAGCTTTAAGTCAAAGCAAGTCTCCTCAGTGACTTCTCTACTTCAGCTATTGCACATGGATTTATTTGGTCCTATCAACGTGCAATCAATACCTGGAAAGAAATACACGATCGTTAACATTGGCGAGTTTTCCAGGTACACTTGGGTTTTCTTTTTCAGATCCAAGAGTGATGAACCTGAATAAATCATCTCATTCGTCAAGCGCATAGAAGTACTGAACAACATCAAAGTACGATCTATCATGAGTGATTATGTCACTGAATTCAAAAATAGTACCAATAATTACTTTCTTGTGAACAAGGGAATCTCACACAACTTCTCAACTGTGAGAACACCACAACAGAACGGGGTCGCTAAATGGAGAAATCGAACGTTCATCGAAGCCACTCGTTTAATGCTCAGCGAATCTCGTCTCTCTACTCAATTCTGGGCTGAAGCTGTCAGCACTGCTTGTTTTACTCAGAACCTATCGCTGATTGTCAAGACATTCAAAAAAACAGCTTACGAACTCTTCCATAGCAGAAAGCCTTCTCTCAGCTTTCTACATATCTTTGGTTGTACATGTTATATCTTAAACAACATAGACCAACTTGGAAAGTTTGATCCCAAAGATGATGAAGGAATCATTCTTGGATATTCTTCAGTGTCCAAAGCATTTAGAGTATTCAACAAAAGACGACAAACAATAGAAGAATCTATTCATGTCATCTTTGATGAATCTCAATCAGCTAACTCTAAACCCATCTCTAAAGATGATGAAGAGTTAGACAACTGGATGATATCTTACTATGGAGAATATTAAGCTTCCTTCAGCAATCAACCGAACGCTGACCTCCCTCGAGCTGACGATGATCCATTTATCGTTCCAGATGTGACTAATAACGAAGATGAATCCTCTTCAGGGATTGTTGTCACTCCCATTAGTCACTTTCCTCTTTATACTTCAAATACTGACCCTTCAGTCATTAAATCTCCTTCAGTCACTGAACCTCTCTAATTAAATGAATCGCTCTTTGAGGCTCCTTTGGAAATTCAACCTGTTGCTAAAGACTCTCTTGATGAAGCCTCATCTTCTATACCTGAGCCTTCAGTCTCAGAAGTTTATCTTCAACTAGCTCAGCAATGGACCAAAAACCATCCTATCCATCAGATTCTTGGTGATCCAAGTGCAGGTATTCAGACTCGTCGCGGTTTAGGTAATATTTATCTCTTTGTCAACTTTCTTTTTCTAGTTGAGCCCAATAAATCAATGAGGCTATCACTGACCAAGTTGGGTCACTGCCATGAAAGAAGAACTCACTGAGTTTGAGAGGAACGAAATCTAGTACCTTGTCCCGCGTCCATCTAACAAGACCGTGATAGACACTAAATGGGTTTATCGCAATAAGTTGGATGAACAAGAAATTGTAACCCGTAAAAAGACTCGTCTTGTTGCTCAGGGATATAGGCAAGAAGAAAGAATATTAGATGTGCATGATGGGATAACTGACTTACTTTCTAAGTCTTCAGATCAAACAATCTGATAAAGGTATATTTATCAATCAGGGTAAGTATGTTAGGGATATGTTGAAGAAATTCGACTTAACCAACAGTTCATCTATGAAGACTCAAATGGCTCCTCCTCTCTCGCTGAACAAGGATCCAAATGAAAAGCCTGTAAACATTATTGCTTATAAATGAATGATTGGCGCCTTGTTGTATCTCACAGCTAGCCGACCTGATATTATGTACTCTACTTGTCTTTGTGCAAGATATCAGTCTGAACATAAGGAATCTCATCTGATTGTTGTAAAACTCATATTCATATATCTTAAAGATACTCCTAATATGGGCCTTTGGTATCCCAAAGACTCAGGTTTCGACCTAATCAATTATGCAGATAGTGATTTTGCAGGTTGCAAGATAGATAGGAAAAGCACCACTGGAGGCTGTCAACTTCTAGGTAGAGAGTTGGTGAGCTGGACAAGTAAGAAGCAAAATTCAATGTCCACATCAACTGCTGAGGCTGAATATGTTGCCGCTTAAAGCTGTTGTGCCCAAATCCTTTGGATGAAAAACCAACTCAGCTATTATGATTTGCATCTCTCAAAGATTCCTATCTACTACGATAGCACCAGTGCTATTGCAATTGCAAACAACCCTGTTCTTCACTCCAAGACTAAACATATTGATATCAGATATCATTTTATCAGAGATCATGTTATGAATGGTAATATTAAACTTCATTTTGTACCCACATGTTATGAATGGTAATATTAAACTTCATTTTGTACCCACTGAGTACCAATTCATTGATCTTTTTACAAACCCTAAGATAAAACAAGATTTAATATGTTAACAGTGAACTTGGAATGATGAACGTTGAGGATTAGTTCCTTCGGCTCTAAGAAATACTCAGTGATATTAAGTGAAATGATTACGTGTTCTTATTCTATCACTGAACTATTGAGTAAATGTATCTTTCTCTCTAAGGTATGTATACTTATCTTCTTCTCTAAAATCTTAAAACCATCACTGAATTTTTTTATTCAGTTCTCAAAATGTTTTAAAAGAGATGTTTTAGTGTTTTCTTCTATCACTAAACTCTTGAGTAAGTATATCTCCAAGGTATATCTCCTTTTCTTTTCTTAAAACAAAACTATCGTTGAATCTTTCATTATTCAGTGATTAAAATGTTTTAAAAGGTGAAATGATTCAGTGTTTCTCTATCATTGAACCCTTCAGTAAATGTATCTTACTTTTAAGACATGTTTTTCTTTTCTTTAACTTAAAACTATCATTGAAATTTCTTATTCAGTGATCCTTTGTTTTAAAAGAATCTTAAAACTCTCACTGAACTTTTCTTTTTCAGTGACTTTTGTTTTAAAAGAAAAAGGATGATGAACCATCATTTGTTTATGACGTCTTTAAAATTTTTATGGTATCACGTGCGTCCTTCTGACACACACAGTCCATTTTTTTCTACCCAATGACAATGCGATGACATGCAAAGAAAGTCATGATTGCACATCTTTTCGAAGTGTCGTTTTCCTCTCTCATCTCGCCTATAAATCTAAGACTCACCCTCTCATATCTCTCTTTACGCTTACACAAGAATTCTCTCTCTCAAGAACTTTTTGCAAACAAGAACTTTCAAATCCTCCTTCAAACCAGTTTCCTTCCTTTCTTAACAAAACAGGTTTGTAATCTTTTTTTTATTGTTATTCCTCAAGAAACTTTGTTTGATATTTAAAAATGTTCTTTCTTTTAAATACAAACAAACATGTTTTAAATCATTCTTCTTCTTGATTTTAACCTAGTTTCTAAAACCTTAAATCTTCTTGAAAAACCCTAATCTTTTTCTGGTTTTTCAAAATAAAGTTATTCTTTCAACCTTTGTCCTAAAGTGCTTTACTGACGTTAATATGTGTACTATTCTTCCATTATGTTCATCTTCTTTTACAGAGATGGCTGCACCAAGTGTTTACTTTGCTTTCGAAGATTGGACTTCTAAGCCAAACAATCATGTGGCTCTCTTGGACATTCCTACAAACAAACTGCAGTTTGCAGATGTTGCTCGGTTATTGAAGAACTCAGTACTTGGACATGCTCTTACCTTTGAACCAGTGATGGTAAAGGACCTTCTGAATCAGTCTGGTACATCGTAGAAGCAAAGATGATAATGGAAAAAGATGGAAACCCTATGGTCAAGATCTTCTTCATAGTCAACAACATGACTGTAAGTTTGGCATTTCTACTGTTAGGGTTGCTCTTCACCTTCCCAAGTCTATTGCCAATTCCAGTGATCCAGTAACTTAGGATATCATCAAAGTCTTGGATGATATTCACTACGTTTGGCCTCTAAAAGAGGACTCCAGCACTAAATTGAACAAGTCGCTAACGAAAATCGAGAAGAACATAATATCTGTTGTATGGAAATATCTCTTCTTGCACTTTATTTAGTGCATGGGCGAAAAGACTGGAGGACAAGACCAAACTTCAAGGGTGGCATTGAAATTGGTTGCTCATTGATCAAGAACGTCAACGTCAACTATGCACAGCTGATATTCAACGATCTAGTGTTGAAGCTGAACAAGCATCAGCGTAAAAAGGTGGTCCCTCACATCGGGTTTCTCAGTGGGATTCTCTCCAGGATCTTTGCATCCAAATACCCCACTAAAGGTGACCTGCCTATCTGTCAGCTTGGATCAAGAATACTTTATCACAAAACCAAGCCCTCGGACATTAATCTATTCCCTCGTATGTTGAGAATAGCCAATGCTTCTTATTTTCCCTCTTCATCTTCTTCTCAAGTGGCTAAGATTGTGGCAACCCCCTCCCAAGTCTATCCCGACCACTACCACTTTATCTCTCACAAGAGGACACAATCAGAAGCCCCTCTTAGTCCCTCAAAGAGGCTAAGAAAGACAAAAAGGGGATGCCAAGCAAGCTAGCTGAGACCTCTCAAAAGGTCTCAACTATTGAAACAAGCCTTACCCCCGAGGAGCCTTCTACAACCCTCCCAAGCTCTATAGTTATCTCTTTAGATGTCGTTGTACAAGTGGCTTCTACCCCCAACCACTTTAGTGACCCAAATCATCGAATGTGTGAATACCTGCATCGTCACTGCTGACCCTCCACTTACTTTCTCAGTTATTCTCTCCTCCCCGCCTTCTTTGGTCTGTACCACATGTGTCGATGATCCCATGGTGGTTGTCCCCACCATTGGTGAAACCATTACCACACGACCTGAGGTTGCTCCTCTCGAGGTACTTTAAATACTTGTTGTTGATCCTCAAGACAGTACATGTGAGATGCCCCGCGTTGATCCTTCAGATAACGATGATGACCCCTCAGGTACAATCAGAACCTCCTTTTTTTCTTATTACTAATATTGAGCTATCTTATGCTCAATGCTCTCTTGACTTTTCAGGTCCTTTAGAGAACGAACTCATAGTCATCGAGGCTGAAGCTTATGACATGGCTAAGAATGTCAAGCTCTTGCTGCCTGCTGTCGCCACTATCCTCGATAAAATGGACGAAGTGCACCATGCAATTCCAATTAAAGAATACCTGACTAATGGCCTCTCTGCTATCAAAGCTGAGGTATGTGGAGTCAAGGATATGCTGAATATCGTGAAAACTAAAGTACAAGCCAACACTTAAGCTGTTACTGCTCTATTCAGCAAAACTGATGAAGTTCAGGCCCAACTCACCATGCCTGGTGAGATCCTTCAACAAACCTTCCAACTCCTTCAGCAACCAGCGTCCGTCTCTGAACCTGTCTTCAGAGATGCTGACCGTTAGCAGTTGGAGCGGGTCGCTTCTTTCAACCTTCTCCAAGATGAAGCTCTATCCTCCTTAGAGCAAAAACTGGAAGATCTCTCTTCTTGTCTCCCTCTCCCCGACTCTACTCTTGATGATGACAAAGAGGAGGAGAAACATAAAGATGTTGAGGGGGAGAAGTCTCCAGGTGAGGAGACTACTGAAGATGCTCCAAACCCTCCTACTACTGAGGATGCCAGGGATCCCATCCCTGATGCCATCGATGATGACAACGATGATGCCATGGTCATTCATGTTGCTGATAACCATAAAGACCTTCATCCATCCACCTCTTCATTTCCAAATGCTGGTGATGAGGATAATGAAGATGATGATGAGGATAAGGATTTTGAACCTCAACTTCTAGATGTCGGCACTGATCTTGGTGGTGACGATGACAATGATGATGACGATGATGATTTCTGCATCCAAGCCATCCCAAGACAACCATGACTTAAAGGAATCTCCATCCAGGAACCTGCTTCCTAGGGGGAGAAATCATCATAGAACCAGCACTCCACTGACAAAGGTAAAGGAGTGGCTGAAGACAACCTTGTCATTGTTCCAAGGGCTGTCAGCCAATCTGAGGATACAGACTCCTCCAGGTTTGTATCTATTTCCCCATAAGTTGAATCTTATATCCCTCTACTACTGTCTGCAACAACAAACCCTCCTGGTCTCTCAACCGATCTCCATCTTTTGAAACCATAAACGTTGAAGAAGATGAAGACTTGAGGATGAATCAGCTGGTAAGTCAGCTCGACCAAACCAGAGTAAAATTCTACCTCTGGTTGTGTGAGTTTGACTTCGTTTTAGAAGCTGAATGAAAAGAATCCCTACATGTTGAACAGGAGCTGAAGAACTATTAGCAACATCTCAAAGACAGCCTAGAGTTAGCCAAGGCTCTAGCTGATCAGGCACTAGCTGAAGGGAAATTCAAGAGGAAAGATCCACTCACTACTCAAGCCAATATGCTAGTAGAAGCTGAACGTGTATGCCAACAAGTGTTGGAGCTTAAGAATCGTGACCTCTCCTGGTGCAAAGAAAGAATTGAGACAAGGGTGAGCCCACATAAAATCACAAACATCACTATCAGTAGTCGTGTAAGAGATGGTGCTCACCTAGTCTCAATGGTCATATTTCAAGAAGACAAAAATGTTGTCACTAAGCATCCTTCTTTCCTCAGTCAGTATGGCTTCTACAGGTGGCAACAGATTCGACAGGCTATCCAGAAATCTAAATCCAAGCACAAGCCTTATGTTGAAGAAGTTTTCAATGAGTTATTCAATAAGGTGTCAAAAATCATTGAGGTTCGTCTTCTACCAAAGAAGTTTCCCTCTCGAAGAAAATTCTTTTCAGAACCTGAAGACGGTCCATCCCAGAAGAACGAGCACGAGACAAAACTCTCAGTGGATAAACTTCTCAAGGATGGAAAGAAGCCGGATATCTCAAAGCTAAACTTGTCACTGCGTAAGAAGGATCCTTATATACCCAACACAATGCATGTGAAACCTGAGTATGGACTTATGTTCATTGACTATGATGGTCAATACATGTTTCAGCGAGTATCAGAGTTCCATGTCTACCATATAGATCATATCTAAGGACTTGGTTAAATGATGATCTATTTGGAGATATAGTGGAGCACAATATTCGATAGGAAATGCTCAAACGCAAGATACTAGGAGAAGATGTCCCTGACTACATCAACTTCAGCAATCTAGATTAGAAGTTCTTTCAGTCTTGTAATATCTTTTATTTCTTATCTTTTCTTTCAGTGTATAACTTTTTTGTTTTAGGTCTACCAAAACTGATTGTAATAACTTGTAATATTTTCCCTTGAAAGATATTCAATAAAATGATCAGTTCACTGAAAAAGATCCCTGAAAAGAGTAAATGAGACATGTACTTATGAGTTATGTTTATGTCTTACATTCGCTGACACCTTTCTAGTAAGTGAATATGCTTTCAGTTATTAATATTGTGTAAGTTTATTCTTTCCTTGTAATCCTTTATAATTAAAGTAAATTTCTATAGTAAACTATATCACTAAAAAAGATCCCAAAACAGTTAAAAAGGACAAGTATTTTACTATTACATTTTTCTTACTAATGTAACTTGAGTAATTTTCTTCATGTTGCTTTGTCATCATCAAGTAGGGGGAGATTGTTGATCCTCTCTCTCACTGATTTGATGATGATCCCTTTTATCTATCTAAGTGTATTATCTATGTATTCAGCTTCAGCGATCATCACTGAGTCTGTTCAGTGATCATTGAACATGTATTGTAAACTCATTTAGAGACTAGAATCTTTCAAGAAGACAAAACTCACACCACAGATCCTTCAACGATATCGAAGATAAAAGCTGAAGATTAGAGACCAGCAAGTTCATGATATGAAGCGGTTTTCAGTGATAGCAAACTCGTCTACACAAGTGTGAAATCTATGCAAGATTCAGCAAACACTGATGAGACCTTCAGCGTTATTCCAGTGTTCAATGATCAAATGAATCTTGTTGAGCAAGATAGTTTTTGTCTTGTCCTTCTGCACACAAAGAACAAATGCATACCTTTCAAAGTAAAGTACTATACGGAGTCACTCCATTGTTTCCAAGTGTGCTTACCTACTTTATGAAAGAAGATTGTTTATATACGGCCAAAAGACTGTATATTGCAACAAAGGACAAACTTACCTCTTAAAGCTTGCGACGTGCTTTGTACCTTTTGAATTTCATTTAATGCAGTGGATATAAATAGATTAGTAGTTCTCTCCTATGTTATCTTCTTCTTCTTATCTTACCCAAGAAGATACTCCTCCTTCTAACTCTTTATCTAAGAGAAAGACCCACTGTAACAAGTGAAGAACACATTACTTCTTAACCTATTTCTTGTAGCAAGTCTTTTTTTCTTGTTGTCTGTAATTTTGTGTGTATCTATGTTTGTTTAGATAGGTTATGTATCCTCTCTCTTCCTCAAACAATCTGTTAAAATTTGTGTTGATCTTCTTTATCAATATAAGTTTTTTAAAAGTGAAAGTTGTTGTGTTTGTATTCATCCCCCCTTTACAAACTGTTACCTATAAATTCTTGTAGATCCAGCTGGGACCAACATGTTTGGTTCAAAGGAAAATCTGGAATTGAATCCCGCAAACATGGGAATTAGAAATCCCTCTAAATCCCATGGGAGTAGTTGGTATTTCTGGGGATTTCATAAGATATGTTTGTAGCAATGTTTTAGAATATGTTAAAAACACTAGTTTTGTAATAATTAATCAATAAAAATGTAATATAATTGTTTTTATAATTTATTTTAAAAAATTATTTATAAAGAATGAAATTCAATTCTATTCCAGATCCTACAAACCAAACACACCAAAGATTCTAAATTATTCCAATTCCAAATTCTCCTAATTCTAAGCTCTTCCACGAAATCCAAATCAATCAAAAACATTCCACCAAACCAAGCAGGCCCCAAAATGTCCAGTTTCTCCATTTTGGAATCTATTGGAGATGCATAGTTGTGTACAAGCAAATGCATGTACTTGTTTCACAAGCAACCCAAGACCTCTCTACGAGACCTATAGCCTAATCACCATTTAAGACGAGAGGAACCCAAAATGCTTTAACCTAGCTTAAAGGAAGTTTAATTGACCACCTGCAAAATCATCAAATGATATCACAGTCAAAACTTCTGAGAGTCCTTGTTATGATCAATCTTCAAGATTCAACTAATAAACCATGGCAGATCAAAGATTTAACAATAAGAACACTTGAGAGAGATGAGAGGAAAAGTCAAACATTCAATCTTGGTCAAACCTCTATTACATAAACTGATTTTACAATAAAGCTCTCACAAAATTTACAAAGACAAACCCTTTATATAAGGTCAAACTAGAATGTCACAAGTCAAAGTCAAACTATCTAGAAAAGTCAAACACGATGACTTATACAATTATAGACAAAATTAACTTTCAAGACGAATACAATTTAACACTGATTTTCAGTCCTAATATTCTCTCCCTTTGTATTCAGGCTTAAATTTAAATCTCGTTTGAACTTTGTCGCTTTAAGCTCTTTATGACTCTTAAAAAAACAATCTTTACTTCAAAATCTTCAGACGATCTTTTGATGAGAAAATCTTTTAACATTCTCTCCCCTTGAATGTAGAACAACGATGATCTTTCCTTTTGACAAAGTAGAACAGTATCAATAAAGATCTTCAGAAATGATCTTCAAAATATGGTCTTTAAGGAATTTTCAGACAAACAAATCACTAATATTCTTCTTCAAAAAATGAACTTCTTCAGATAACAAACAACCTTTCTCTTCAAAAGAAATCTTTATCAGTAAACTATTGTAAGGTTGATCTTCACATTCAAAAAACTCTCAGACATTGTAGCATCGGAATAATCTTCAGTAATAATCTCTAGTCACACTGCTTTTGAGTCTCTTGTCGACATTGATGTTACTCCCCCTTGATCTTTATAACATACTCCCCTTTTTTATCGTTCGGAATTGAACATTTCATTCATTATTTCATATTCCCCCTTATGATGAAATGAGAATCATTACATCATACACAATAATGAATGAAAATCTTCCGCGAAAGCCGTCAATTCATAAAAAATGAAAGCAGATCTTTTCAAATCCACTTGTATAATCTTTTCAGATTAAGAGAAATGGGAAAGAAACAACCAATTTCAACATATGAAATTGTTTTCAATCTTATAAAAAGATTGGCCTATGAGTATAACAAATATACTCAGTACAACGTATGTACTGTATATATGAGACTTTATGAGGTTCGTCTCACCAGGTCTTCCATTCAATCATCGATAGCTTAATAATAGTATATCTATGAATGTTTCGGCAAAATAACATATAAAATGCAAAATATGTGTAGTGTAGAAAGATAAAGCAACATATGCTTTTGTTTAGGCTTAAAAAGATAAATCGTGTGAACTACACAAATTTATCAGACTCAATGCATGATCAAAAAGACTTGAAGGGGGGACATATATCCTCCTGTTTCAATATCAACTTTCTCCGAATGAGAAACTGATAAATTGTGAGCTGCGTGCCCCAACTGTTATTGAAACACTTATCTGTTAAGAGATAAATGAGTAGCTGGTGGGGTTGTGACAAGAATTGGCCTGGGCTTTGCCTTTTTCAATATTAGTCTCCAAAGAATCAAGAACTAATATATTATGTGGTATGCCCGGAATTTAGAAGTTTGGAACAGGATTCTTATATTCTTTTAATCCTGACACAACTCTCATCAATTCTTTTAGCTCACAATAACTACCCCTCTCTTTTTCATTTTAAGCTCTGCTGTAATATTTGGTTACGAGTTTTGAATTAAGATTTTTGAATATATATATATATATATATATATTTATGTGAATTAATATGTATATATATGTGTGAATTAATATGTATATATATATATATAT